CTTATGCGAGTTAGACTGATCCCACGAAGAGTCCAGGTTAGGGTACTCCTTCTTAAACTTAGCGAAGTATTCCCTATACCCCTCCACTAGACAGGAGTTGCCAGTTATCCAGTTCCATTGGATAGTACAGACAGAACAAGTGAGATTTTCTGGCAACTTGAAGGTCATCCTATACTTCATTCCGTCAGTACCAAAGTTAGGTGGAGGCAGATACCATCTTTCTGGATGTTCTTCGTCTAGTGGTTGGCAGTCGTAATTGCTGGCGTCGATATTCGTAGCATTACGGCAGTCAGAGCGGGTTTTAGGATCGGGTCTCACGAGGAGATTCTTATTGAGGCAGTCTTGACCAGCCTTCTGGGTCGAGTACTTATCACCGTTTAATCCACCCTCACAGATACGGAACTCGAAGTGACCCCAATGATGGACGGTCAAGTGTATTTCGATGTCGATATTGTGACCATGAGTGTAAGTAGCCATTACTGGACCCTGTTGCATGTATGGTTGTTGGCTAAGAGGTGATAGACTACTACCAGCCCCTTCAAAAGGATCGCCACACAAGCCGTGAGTGCCTTCCGCGTCGTGATTATCAGGGAAAGGGGCGTTCTTAGCTTGGATCCGACCAACAACCCCGACACTGTTACCAGACTGAGGACCATAGCCATTCTTTGGACCAGGCACAGCATTCCTGGCCTGGGGGCTTGATATCCAACCATGACCATTAACAATGGCGATGATAGAGGAGATGAGGACTATATTGGGCATAGTAAACGAATACACTGCTCTAAACTCGAATACACCCTCATGTTAATCCATCCAGTCTACTTTCTCCCCCATGAATGAATATTATCGTCTTAATCAACTCGAGTTTCATACGATAGCTGTGCTTGCGTAAACTGTTGGAGGAATCGGATCCGTCGCCGGCCATATAGGGAACGCAAGGGTAGGCGATGGATCAAACTCGAGCAGACTAATCTACTTCACTTGAGCGAATGGACTCAAACGAATGCTTTGCATGCATGCCCACGTTCCTAATTGGAGCACGAAAACGGCAGGCTACCTGTCTACGAACAGACAGTATTGAGGATGAGGAAGCATCGCAGCCGATAGTATGCGTGCTGCATCGATGTTTATGCGTGCTCTCTCAATTGATTGCTGTTGTGGGCTCACTTTGCTTACGCTTATCCTGCTAGTTTGTTCCCAACGTTATGACATTAACCTGAGGGGTCTTGTGATTGGTAAAACCTTAACTATCCTTCGGTGCGACTTTTATCAGCTAATGAGGCCAATATCGATCGTTCTGGCGTTATCGCATAAGTTGGTTAGCTTGTGAGGTATGAAGTGCCAATAGGGTCGTTGTAGTGGTTACCCAAGCGCAAGCACTAGTGTCATGTTGACCATGCGCTATCTACGACTGATACCACAACATGAGACGCATAGGTGCTGTTGATGAATACTTGTCTATTTTCGTTGTCAATTATCAATATGGCGACGCCTGAGAAGCGGAGCGAGCTCGCTCAGACTTGAAGAAAGCTTGCGAGCACTTGCCGAGCACTCAAGCAAATTCGAGAAGTCTTTAGTGTGATTATCTCCGACGACGACAAGGAGGAGGAGGACACTACCAAGGTATTGGTCGACGTTGCTGCTTAGGGCACTAATCTTCTCGAGAAGATAGGTGAATACGAAGCTCGTATGATGGAACTGGAAGCGGAAATTGACAGGAGCATCAGTGACGGTGCCAGAAAGGAAAGCTTGTGCTCGAGAGACGTCTGTGGAGGGGTTTCATCACTCCGCTGAGTTGTCCATCATCGTCACAGTAGGCGACTGAGCATCGTTAAACGACTGAAGATAAGCTAAGGCAAGCAGACCGACTTGCAAGTGCAGAAATGCGACATTCGATAATTTCATCAAGCTTGAGCTCAATGAGAGGATACTCGCATGGCAACCAGATAGTACGAATTTGAGGTGCACCAACTTTTGTTGATGCTCCCTGTTGGTGTGTTATTAGTAATATGAAAAACCACCGCGATGGACTCTCATTATGGGAGTTTCATATTGGTAATGCAACAGGGGAAACACATATAACAAGAAAGATACTAATAACTACCAAGAAATGCCGCTATTCAAAATTAGCTTAATAGAGGCATCCATTCAGATTCTCGATGTTAACATCATACCCCCGAGACTCCTATAATCTTCGGACGTGAGAACTCTGTATCTGCAGCGTCATGTAGTCACGTGGATATGGGATTTCAGTGAATCCCCACTTGTTGGTGGACGGGTGAAGCCAGATGACCTGGTCGGGCTTGCATGCCTCTGGATCGCATCCCGCCTGCATAAGCCTCTGCTTAACTTGCTTGAAGGTGACTGTGTGGTGATGATCATCATCGTCATCTCTCAATATACGAACCTGGGGGTAACCAGGGGAAAATACAAGACGTTATGAAGTCGAACAGTTCTAACAGGGATCGTGTCGAAGTGGAATCTCCAACCCACGAATCGCATCCCTTGATGGCATCAACCCGAAACACCGAAACAGGTATTCAGTGGAGTACCAACGATCTCTA